CTTTCATTCCTTGCCTGATATATTTCTCTTTTTTACAACTTTTAAAGGGCTGAGTGCCTAAAAGTATAGTATTGTTATCAATAAAATAGAAAGCAGTCGAAGGCTCCTCCGGCTGCGAAGCATAAGTGGCAATTAGAAATTGAAGTAAAATTTAGATCTCATCTAACATGTCCTTAAAACAAGTTAAAAATGTGGCATACATTCAAGACAAACCCACCTATGTGTATAAAAATTATATTGTTTTCCCATCTTTCTGAACGAAAGTAAAGGAGGGTAAAAATTGTGGCCTTGCATTTCAGGGAGAGCTAAACATGAGTTGCTCCCTAGCGAAAAAAACATTTGTGTCAGAAAGTTTCTTTGTCTAATAAACGTTTATGAATAATACAAGGTATATAAGAACATATAAAAACTATTGATATATACGAGCATATAAGAACGATATAAGAAACTTCTCCCAAGATTGTTATACTGTTCTTATATATTCTTATATATCTTATATAATTCATATATGGTTTTTATGTGTTCTTTTATATCTTGTATGATTCATATGTGTTTATTGGACAGAAAAACCTCTCATACGAATGTAATTTTTCAATACGGCTATCAGTGTTGTAGGCGTTACCGTAAAAAGCTGGGGCCACAATCCACGCTTTGAAGTCGGTTGGACAGCGAAGCTGTAGTTTCACCCGGAACGATTGCCCGCTGCACTATATACCCCTTTTTATGCAAACGCCACCAGGTGGTGCTCCAGTTATTCACGTCCCGAAGAACTTCCCGTTTATAAAAAGAATGAACAAAGGACATCTTAACACCGCTGCCTGAAATGTAGATGAAAATTTTAATCACCAATTCTCCAGGTGAATGCCAAAACAACGAAGGAGTTAGAGATCTGTTAAAATTATTGAAGTATTCTTGTAAACCGACTTCCCTCCTCAAGATGCAATATCTTACAGCCGAAGACCATCTTAAAATCTCCAACTCTGTAGTCGGTGTAGCATTTCTGATGTCTAGGACTGGTGGCATAAGCTAGCTCAACAGGCTTGCAAACATGATGGGACCGGAAGTCGCCTGGGCGCCAGCGGCAGTTCGTGTTTGTAAACAGCAAAATGATATGTAATAAATGATTCACGAAAGAAACGTAAATGCATTGTACTAAAGCCTTTTTATATATAAAAGACTGTACGCAGCCGTTGCCGCAGCGCTTGTGCAACCGCAATCGTTACCAAGAAACACACACGGGGAGTGCTACGTGCTTCGCATTGTTCGCGAGCGCCTTATCATCTATCAAGTGCAAATGTCAAACACACGCGAAAAGGATAAGGCGCGCGGGAACACTGATAAGGCGCGTGGCATGGTTTTCTGTCGAGGACTGTTCTGTCGACGGCACGAAATAACGCGACCCACAAGTCGCAAGCAGCTTCGAAAAAGTAACGAAATATGTCCCTCGTTACTTGCAAATAAAACGAAAGCGTTACCGACCTACGTTACCTTAAAATAAAAGGAACGAGTTACCGCTACCGTTACCGATCAAATGTAACGCACACCACTTTTGCGTTACTTCTTTAGTTATGAATTCACATGTACCAGTGTTTTGACGGTACAACTATCCATAAGCGTCATATTTCAAGTTGCCCGTTGCTGTTTTGAAAAAAGTAACGAGTACGTTACTGCGCTACCGAAAAACGTAACGCGATGCCGGTCGCCCCATTACTTGTAACACATTACCGCCAACACTGGTTTCTATGCCGTGGACTCAACACCCTAAATTGTTCAAGTTGCACAAACAACAAAGGTCTGAACAAACTCACAGGCAAAATTGTTTTAAATCATTGCGAACACGACGGATTTACACCCTACACATCCACATTTGACCGCCGATAAGCAAGCACTCCTTGAGTTCCTTTATTTTAGCATCCGGTGGGCGGTTTGCAAATATAACACGCGGGAAGTTTTCAAGTTGTACTCGAGAAAGTATGTTTCCAGAGTACGACTTTCTACTCGAGAAACGTAGTTTATCGAGAATAAAAGAAAAATATGTTCTGCTTGCTACGTTTTTAAGTATATTATTCTTATATTATAATTTTATAACCATCTAAAATCTCACCAGAACATTTACGAGGTGTTACATTTTGCAATCAATAATGAAACCCATGAAAGAAAAAATTGTATGGAGATGTCAATGACGACTGCAACATCCTCCTTCACACAATTTCATGTCCCACGTAGAACAGTGATTTCGAAAATTATAAGCACGCGTCTTTATTTTGTTTGCTATTTTTTTTCGATAAACCCGAAGTGACATGCCAATAAACTTTTTATTCCTGCGTCTAAATATTTTGTGATTACTTTGCCTCGTGTTAATTAATTTAGTAGTTGAGAAGGTGAAACTGCTAAGGCCTTTCCTAGTACCTTTTTTGTATGCTTACATCTGAGGCAGTCCACATTAAAGAAGTTCTCAATAATTTGGCATATTTTCAATCATTCCCTTACTGACAGTTTTTCTAAAGTTATGAGGCTTGTCTACTTGATGTCCATAAAATCATGTACATTTTTGGCCAAATATTTATTAGCAATTTTTATTTAAACCGAATTTTACGAACTTGTTTATTGTGCCTGTGCAGCGAGTCTCTTTTCTGAAATATGTTTTCGTGCGTATAGATAGTGCCTTAACATTAAAAGTAATTTCTTTTTTATTTTGGGTAGCGCCATTAGAACACCGGTAGTTGTTTCACGCTTGCCTTTCAATTTTTTCAAACCTTTATAGCTTGACGCAACTTAGATTTGTGTCCATGATATGTAATTTGCTATCAAAACACAAATCATAAATATTGAACACTATCAGAAAAAAATATTTCGTATAGTTTTTACAGGTATTTAGGGCGTCGTGTTTATTATGACTATGAATATCTGCTACAAAGGTAGCATCTTTTACTTTTGTCTAAAACAAGGAAGGCTCTTGACCTATTTTTTTTTTTTTGCAGAAGCTTTCGAATAGCGCAGTTGACTCGGTTTATCTACATTGTAAAGTTAAGTTTTATGTAAATTCTTGCACTAAATCAAAATTAACTGTTGGGCTAGTTGGCTACACATTGTATAAAAATTCAAAAGCGCTCTGTCCTGTCCCCTCTTCTTTTCCTTGGTGTTTGCGCTTTTGAATTTTTATACAATTCTTGCACTACCAGAGATCCAATATTTTTTTCTCGGATCCAGTCGCCCTATAACTGTGTCGTAACTTCGGATCTTCATATCTGTGCACCAGCCTCTGAGTTGTGCCTCCTGTTGACTAATTCGATCATTGCTAGCTAATTTATACTTTGTGTTTTTGGATATATTTGCAATAGCGTGTGTTCAACGCGATACTGTTTATATTTTTTTCTTTTTTTTTGTGAGATGCACTAATCTCGAGATCATCACATTTAATTGTTTTGGGGTATTTTAATTTTTAATTTTTTTGTTTTTTATTAATACTGTTTTTTTGTACAGACTTGGGCGCACCACACTAAAATAATGTGCTAAATACAATTAAACGGTAGTTGTTTGCATGATTCAAATTTTAAGAAAATTATTATTGTAGTTTTTTATTTATTTATTTATTTATTTATTTATTTGATACCCACAGCGCCTTTCGGCATTACAGTGGGGGGGTTATACACAAAAAATCAAGTATGAAGTCACAGGTTAAAGAGTTAAAGAGTTAAAGACGTAATTAAAACTAACTGGGTCAATTTTGTGGGAAACAAATTAAGTGAAGTCGCTACCACTGATATAATCAAGTAATTATAATGATTCCAGCCCTGCTTTTTTCACATAAGATGTTGGAAACACATATCAATTTTCGATTCTAACCCACGTTTATATATTAAACTATTATATATATAACAAACTGTCAATCAGCAGTACAATAAAACGTGTTAGATAGTAATTCAATGAATGCAAATGTTTTAAATGTGGCATACTGCTGAGCTATATTTTTCTAAGAACTAATTTATATTTGACTCGCTTTGTGCTTTAACGAACAGACAAATTCCACCTTGAAGTTCAACAAGGAAGAATAAGTTCCCTTTTTAAACTGAAATCTAAAAAAAAAATATTATTTCAATAGGCAACCTAGTGAACTAATTCGTTTCAGGGTTTAAATTTTACAAGCAGTTGAATGCAGACTCAGCAGTTGCAACGCTACTTCAAAGCTATCAGTGTACCACTGGTAGCTTTGAAGTGGCGCTACAACTGATGAAGCGCCCAAAGCTGTCCAAGACTAGGGTGCCTAAAACGCGACAGCGACTGATGTCCTACCGCGTCCCCCAAAAAGTGCACCCTCGACGTCCGCCCTCTGACGTCATTGAAGATGTCATGTTGTCACCTGCTCTGATCTTGGCGGTGGCACAGCAGCGATGGCTTATATGCGACAAACGCCTTTACTGCTGCAGGTCGCTCTCCAGATTTACAGTTCGCAGAAGCTTCGCAGCCAGGAGTTGACACGTCCAACTGAGAGGATCGCGACATCTGTCTAAACAACACTCTGGCTTCTATGATTTCGGGGCCACTTTTTACTATATCCATGGGCAGAACTTGACGCCAAACATACCAGTCAAAGGCGCATTTCACAAGCCGTATAAAAACTGCTCACCCAATCGGAACTGCCGAGGACCTGTCATAGATCTTTAATACCGCTGTGGTAATTGTGGCGGAATTTAATGGGTGTGCGAAATTTACGGTTTTCATCTGTAAAATATTTGATTGAGCAATCGACAAGGTTGTACGTCACTGCCTTTGAAAGTGATTATGTTTGTGTAACTCCCACTGCGGCACTGCGAACTGAAAGCAGTGGGCTTTTAGAAAAAATAACAACCAGTCTGTAAGAAGGTAAGGGTTTTATTACTGATAGGTGAAACAATACTTCCGCTGATTTAAAGTTGCTGATGGTAACTTTATAGCTGAAGTGTAATTAACCAAGGAATATACCCTCTAATTGAATATTCTTGGCAATTTTCACGGATCAGTGTACCGCTTAAATATAGCTCCTTAACAACCCGTTAAGAATTGATTATATATACGTTTTTAAGAGCATCTGAAAATTGTTCAAAGTGTAAAATGTAACGTTTCATTCTAAGAATAATTCGAACATTGTTATATTTCTCTGCAAAGCAAACATTTGCTCATATACACCTTGCCTCTGCAAAACAGGCCGCATGTCATACATTTAAAATGTTCAAAACTCTTGATTTATTATTTTGTGAATGTACTAAAATCGCCTGAACATGTGTACTAACCAAACAGCCAGCAGAACATGTATACTAAACAAAAGAAAATATAATGCTTGTAGATTTGAAGGCAAAATCTGGAACATTTGGTTTAATCTGGGGGCATGAACATTTGTAAAAAAAGGACAATACACGCGTTACATTACAAGTATATGCGCAAAACAGCTGATGTTCTAAATGCTCGAAGCAGTAGCAGTATTTTTATATATTCTGCACAGTGCAGCATGTGGTTCGTGGTTTTTTCTGCTGAAAGTGGCGAAATTATATCCTTGTGAATTTGATCCAGGGTCCATTGTCCAGCTTCGACATCATTCCGATAATACGTACCGGAATATCACCCTAAAGACACAACAGATGTACATGTTTTATTAGATATTTTATAACAAACTATTTGCCAGACGTTCATTACTCTAATAATTTTTTTATATTTTGAAAATAGATCAAATGTTTAAAAAGTTTGATTCCTGATAAAAAATGAATGTTTTTGTAATATACAACTGTGTGTAGAAATATAATCACGCTGTGCCAAGTAAACAAAAAGTTAATCAAGTAGAAATAATACTTTATAAACCAGGATTTTTTCGAGGGGGAGGGGTGGTTAGGTAACTGGGATGCCCATGACTTGGGGTGCGGAGAGCATGAGGGGGGGGGGGGGTAAAAAGGCATGTGTATATTATAGGGTCGGTTGGGATTTTGGCGGGGGGGGGGGGGGGGGGCGCTGAGGCCCAAGAAGCTTTCCCGCTGGCAAAGTCCCTGGTATAACCCAAGCTTTTGTGGCACGCCGGCTCTGAACTCAAGCGAAACGCCACCATATACTTCATTAATAACTGGCCCACAGATAGCTCGATCGTTTGCGATTAGAAGATTAATCCAAAATAGTACCAGCATTTGATTTGATTGTTCTGTTTTGCGGTAGCAAAAATACCTATTAGAAATACTGAGGAAAACACACCCTTCTTGCCTTCAATAAAAAGTGAGTGTTACTTAAATATAATAAAATTTTATATATTTTTATTTACATGACATTCGTGATGTGTCTTAAAGATACATTTTCACTGAAAGTGCATAAAATAGAAAAATGGCCAGTCTGATTGTGTGAGGTCCTTTAACATTATGAACATGTTACAGGGACGTCATCAAAGTATATACATATTTTGTGAAATATACCTCATAATAGACATTAGCTGCTGCACGTGCCGTAGATTTCTTGTGTGTGCTTTTTTGACTCTGTGCATCATTACTTATGCTACTCGCCGTTCATGAGCACGGAAAATAAGCAGGTGAATGAATGAATGAATGAATAAAAAATTTCAGATTTTTAATTTTGGAATATCAGAAGGTTCACATAACGAGAAAACCAATGCGAGATCTCGGCACCCTATTTTTTAGCTTTCTAATGCATGACTGTTGTGTGGAATCTGAGCCATTTCACTCTATGATAAGTTTTAGAAATGTTTAATAAAACTCCATCTCAACCTTAGTCCCATCAGTAAGTTGAAATATAGTTTTTGCGTCGAAAAGTGTAAGAATACATTTACATAAAAAAACAGATTCAATAAAGACGTAGTTAAAACAAAGTATGCACGGGCTGTCCTATCTATTTACTCTCTATAATGGTTACCTGACATAGGGAGACGATTAACTTTCTTGTTTTGATTGGTAACCAAGCGAGGTGCTTGCAAGGACGCCTGTCGGATGGCACTCAATTTTGAATCGAACACGAAGTATACCTTCTGTGCTTCTCCGACTTCCATCTTGAATTCGGCCACAATCCTTGCGGTGAAGTACAAGACTTGAAGGATTGCCAACTTGTATCCGACACATCTGCGTGGTCCAACACCAAAAGGCTGGAACGCAGCCTTGCAATAGCCTTCTTTGTTTTCAGGATCGAACCTGTAATAGTAAATGTCGGGCGTGCGCAGGGCGCCGCACTGTTAGGAGTGCATATTCATTTGGTCTTATAGCTGGTAATTAAGCAGGGGACGGAATTCCCTTCCCGCATCCCAGATTGTTTCAGGGTTCCCACCTCCATTAATATCGAAATGATTTTCGTTTGAATGTGTCGACCTCTGAAGCACCTAACAATCGAATACGACAGAAACTTTTTTTTCTTCCTTAGGATTATTAATATATAAAACGCGTGAATAAACTCTTGTTATTTTCACACATGCTTCGCCGATCGGCTTTCTAATAATAATTTTCCCCCTTTCCGAGGTAATGGAAAATTGGTAGGCCTGCCAAGATTGTGGCTTCTTACATCTTTGTATTCTTTTTTTTTTCGGGTAAAGGAGGTAGATAACGATGCAAAGAAAAGATTTATGATGCCACTCGATTTGACAGAGTCCAGATTATGTTCGGCACGCCTGGCGTTTGTTTTGAACGCCAATAGATGGATCCCGCATCAGAGGGTCAATCTATCCGCTTCTTTCCCATTTGGTATTTCAGTTCAATTGCAGCTTTATTTCATTTTTAGAAAGCACATAAAACTAATTGAAAAGACAGCTGAACCTATAGCCAATTCGCCAGCGTAGGTTCATAAAAAGCTATTACCTAAGATGCACAGCGTTTAACGTGTGAATGAAAAGACTAACTGAAAAGCAACTTAACAAAATATAGACGGTATTTATTTCGAACTATAATAAGAATACAAATATTTTTTTTTACTTACAATAATTAACAAAACAAAAGCAGTGCCCACGAGATGAAGATGATTTAGGGAGAAAAGAGAAGATTGTGCTTCAGTGCTTTTTTAAAGTTTTGCGAGTTACAATGATCAACTGGCAATGAGTTCCAGATTTTTGTACCAGTGAATTGAATGAAGTTTGGTTGATTTAAACGTCCAGCTAAAATGCTGAAGTTTGACGAGTATCTTTAAAAAGTATTGTTGTTGGAAATGGGCTGTTTGTAGTTACAATTTCATAAAATGTAGAAATTTTGTCTGTTATGATATCTTGAAGTGTTAGTATACGAAGCTGAATAAATAAACTGCGTGATTCTTGTGTATAATGTGATATCGTTATAATTCGAATGGCCCTTGTTTGTAAAATGATCATGGGCGTGAGCTAGGTGTCATAGCCCGTACCCCAAGCCTCTGTATATTATGTTAAGTTTATTAAAAATATAAAGAAATAGATCATATGTATTACGTGAGAGTTAAACAAACGCCGAGTCTTTATCAAAATATAACATGCCTAGGATTTTTGTTGAGAAATAATGACACTACGATGCTCCCAATGCAAATGAGAATTGAAAATACCACCTACGTATTTACACGCTGTTACCTGTTCTATTGCAGTATTTCCAATGTAAATTTGACAGTTATCATAGTTGATGTGCGTGTTGTTTGAGTGAAATGCGTTACATTTTGTTTTGTGTTTATTGATAGTCAACTTATTATAATTGCGCCATTCTTGTACAAGAATTACTTTATCATTAATTACACTCTTTATGTCATTTAGAGAATGATCGATGTAATAAAGGGCTTTGTCCTCATGATATTTGTAGTGAAAGGTTATGCGGAAATGGTTTGTCCTGTTTTACATCACACTTTTAACTTATCTCTGGAATCAGGTGTATTCCCGACAATGTGGTAGAGCTCTGCCGTTATCCCAGTATTTAAGCGGGGTGACAAAAGTAAAGTGAGCAATTATCAACCTCTGTCACTGCTCTGCATATTCTCAAAAGTTTTAGAGATGCTAATTGAGAACCGTCTATAAATGCATGTTTGCCAAAAAGGTGTACCTGAACAGCACGGAATTTTGAAAGGTCCATTGGTGGAGGTGAATTTGTCTTCTTTTCTGCATGATGTTGTCCCCATTTTTCATAACCGAGAGAAGGCCGACGTGGTCTACTTGACATGAGGAAAGGTTTCGACAAGGTAGATTCACGGCTTCTGTTGGTTAAGTTGAAATGTACGGTTCGTGTCCTAGGTATTGTTAGCTTCTTGAGAGTTACTTATCTAAACACGAGAACTTGGTAAGTTGTCAAGCTGTTTATCTAATTTGCCCACAACATAAAACTATATTGACCGACAAATACTGTAGAGGACTGTGTTTGTTTTGATCGTAATGTATGCTCTATTTCTCTGTTGTGCTTGTCTCAATGTCTTGTATTTAACGAATCAAGAAAAAAAAGCTATTTCTCCTAGCAGGAAACGTGACGGTTTACAGTTTGGTTATTCTTTAGACACCACAGTTATTAGCCGTGTCTGTCTGATTAGAGATTAATATGTATTTTTAGACACCTAACTTTCTTTCAATCAGCATGTTAAAAATATTGTAAACTCGTCGCTAAGAGGTTTTGGTGTTATAACGCGTATGTCGTGTAATCGCAAAATTCACTTTGTTTTTAATGTTACTTCGCTCTCTTGTGCGAAGCCGCCTCCAGTTTTCCTCAGCTGTATGGAACAGCACTGGAGAGAATAACTCATCTAGTCTTGAGAGAGTCACAAAAAATGTATACCTGTGTTTCATGATCGTTACTTGCACTCCACAGTCCTCTTCGACTACGAGAGAATATGGGGGCAGAGTGGCTTACATTATTTGTGTAATAGACGTATGATGCGTGATTTCATGTTCGTGCATAATGGTGATAATGGTGTAGTCGATTGCACATCTTGACTGGACTGTATATGTTTACATGTTCTTTAGAGGGCTAGTTAAGTACGCTTATTGTTTTAACATTTGTTTCTAAAGAAGACTCGTCCCACTACTCGTCGGCAACTGATTTTTAACAAATTGGAATCAAACTTGAATAGATTTGATATTGAGATTTTGGGATATAAGCTAACATTTAGAAAATGCATTGACGTCTTCCTTCGAGCTTGGTGTGTCAACGTGTGATTTTGATGTATGAATTCCTATTTCGACGTAGTGCACCACTAAACAGGCATACAGCTGTTCGCCGGCACTGAAGTAAAGCATTATCAATATACTTTATTATTTGTAAGCGGGCAACACAAGTAAGGATATCGCGTACCGTGTGCGTTTGTTTATCCCCCAAACGCTACCTGTGCTTTTCTTACTCCCCTGATCTCAAGTAATGGCGGCGTGCGCTTCGCTGCATCGTCATCGCCCGTTTCCTCCCCATTCTCTATGTTGCCCTCGGATTGGCATGTTTTTCTTGCTTTCCGATGCACGAAATACAGATTTTGATACCCTTGTTCGCCGCATTCTTCTAGCGCATTATAACATCGCTTTAGTGTTCGCTGCAAACAGGGTTAGAACGTTATGTTTACACTCGATCTGGGAAATGCTCACTGTGGTCGGTCGGTCGATTGACAATGGCGTATGCGTTTAGACTATATGAAAGTAAAACTCGCTTTCCCCCAGATATTTTGATGTACCAAAAAAAAAAATAAACCATGAAAAGTTATGAGACACCAAACATGAACATGGTGACATTAGTAGGCCGTTTGCCACTAGACTCCCAGGTACATTGAGTGATGATCAGAAGCAGCAGAATTCAAAGCAGCGCTTGAAGGAACGTGAATCACGGTTCTAGTCGATTCCAAAATGATAGCGCAAAAGATTCGGATAGGAAAGAACAGTGGTACCGGACAGAGTGCTCTGTCATGTCAAACATGTCCGTCCGAAATCCGGACGGGCATTTTAGATGTCAAGTCCGAAATGAGACGTTTTTACTGACCTGCTATAAGAAACTGACTGTCATTATTAGATAACAAGAGTGCCAAACTCTGCAGGGGATGGAAGCTCGAGCTGACGTCTTTCTTTCTAGAGGTGCAGATACTACTCGGCACAAGGAATAATAATAAGAATATTTATTAAACTTTTGTTTAGAGTCCCTATTTTTCGCTTAATATTATTCAAGCATACGACTTTACTATTTTCTTTTCGAGAAACGTGTCTTCATTAGTTAACGACGACCGCTCTGCCTGCTTCAATTGTTCATAACATAAAAAGCAAGCATTCTTTAAACTGGCCTTTCATGCCGTATTTTATCTAAGAACTTCCTTCAAAATGTAACCTTTTTCGTAAAAATTAAATGTTAGATCCGTTTCACTTGCGCAATTTGAGATTAAATACTCACTTTATTATTTTATATTTAAAATCTTGTTTGCGGAATGAAACCTGGTGCTTAGCGTAATTTGTGCGCGCCATCGGGATTGATGAAATGAGATATGAATATGTTATATTATTTGAGATAGATTTGTAATATGTGAACGCGAAATTGAAGCACTTATTTATAAATTACCTGTCAGGGTCGAACTTGTTTGGTTCGGGCCAATGTTGTGGATCTCTGTGCAGTTGTATTACGGGAGCCGATATACACGTTCCAGCCTTGAACGTGATGCCTTTGTACGTAAAGCTTTCCTTTGCAGTTCTTGTGTGAAACCTGGAATTGTACATACCGGCATATGTGGATTGAGAAAAGGTGCATTTCTGCATGTGTAAAGTCAAAGGTAAGCATAAACTTGAGGCTTAGATTACGTAGATAAACGGAAGACATTCGGGTGTAAGAAGGCAAAACAATTTTGAAACCAGTGCATCGAAAAATGTTTGTTTAATCGCAAAAAATTAATATTTTTCTTTTTTGTTCGATAAAGAATTAATATTTTAAAGCCAGTAAATATACAAGTGAAAAGAAGCTTGATCATTTCAGACAGGACTTTTTTATACCTATATTTGTGTAAAAATGTCTTCAACATTTTTTTTCTGAATTTCCCTTCAGCGAGCGGTACAAATGAATAGTTTGTGGAGTTGTGACAATGTTGTTATGTTTTGCTGAATCGTCAAATGACTGCCATAATCTACGCGCTCTTCTCATAGAGATACCTGCAATACGAAGAAACAAAAAAAAAAAACCCAAGGTTTTTTTTATGTGGACGCATGTATAGCGCAATACTCCTAAAAATCTATCTTCAGGTTTTATAAAAAGGGTAATTAGAAGAGAAATAACCACGCACTTGAATGTGTTTAGGATTTTATAATTTGTACTGACGAGACAACGTGGGCGACCCACATAAAAACATGATATATACGTAGGAGACATTTAAGAATATATATCTGCATATTAAATATATGTTCTATAAAAACGTCTGTATACGGTTAAATGCAGTATGAAGATAATTGGTAATTCTCTAGGAGTCCACGGTCAACATTATAATAGTGATAGAGGCTGTGCCATGTACCCCATACCTATTCCCCTCTCTTATATATTTGTGAATCTGAAATATATTCCAATAATGAAGGTCTGCAACGAAGCGTGTAGTTTTTCTTGTCAGTGAATAGCACGTAATACGTTACCATGAGTTTAAAAATTCAACTTACAAGTTTAACTTAGACCGACTGCACCTTGCAGAACCTTACAGGCTTGTACCTGCTTCACGAATTGTAAATTTAGTTCACTACTACGCTTCTCTTGAGCTGAAAGTTTTGGTGAAAATGACTAATTTGTTTTTTTTTAATGACGCTCAGCAAGTTTCCAAAGGCCCGTTCACACACTCGCGACTTCTTAAAACAGAGTTTTTTTGAACCTCCTAGAATCTCTTAAGACGAGAGGACACACTGGCACCACCTATCGGGTAGCATTTGAACACTGGGCGGTCCCATATATTTTCAGCTTCTTTCGGCCATCAGTCTTTTTTTCTTGGCCTGGAAAATATCTAGTCAATAATATGAACGAACATTTCTCATAAGTAGTACGTACATTTACCTCGCAAATACCGCCAAACCTTCGCTCTAGTGAAATGCGATTCCAGGGTCACCGCATAGATGGCGCTAGCGTGTCAGTGTGCTCTCCCGACATAAGAGATTTTAAGAGGTTTTAAGGCGCTCGGTTCTAAGGAGTCACAATTGTGTGAACGGGCCTTTATTGGAACCACATGTCTCTTTTCTCTCAGTCAAAAATCAATTAGTAATTTTAGTTAATTAGCGAAATAATTAGTAAGTATCGCGCATTCTCTGACGTACGCCGCCACGAGTAACGCGGTTGCGGGAAAAATTATCCTTTTTCCTGGAATACACCAATTTTAGGAGTTTGCGCCACTTACGTAAAACACCCTGCATATATATATATTAAAGCTTTGGAACAGTGCATTTACTTTTCTTTCGTTAATCATTTGGTATAGAGCAGTGGGCGATGGTTCGAGGTGATACCATAGCTTCACTGGCCAATCACATTCACAGCGTGGATTCAAGCCCCGACGTTTTATTACTGACACGAGTTTTCCACCGATAGAAATCCCACAACCGTACACAATGTCAAGTTCTGTGCTGAAACTTAGGTGGGCGTGGTCTCGTAGATAAATTTAATTTTTCTCTCTTTTTTGTTGATTTAGGTGACGTCGCTTATTCTTAAACTTTTGATGTCTGTCCCAACTGTTATAGTCAGAAACAACGAAAGAGAGGCATTGCGACGGTGAAAATGTCGTAAACTAGCAAAGCTGAAGCAGGGAGGAACGACATCCTTTTCACAACGGCTTCTCTTGTGCACACTCTTTTCCCCCTCGTATTGTCTTTCTTACTTTCTATATGTCAATAGTCTCCCCTCCTCACGAAATACGAGCTTTCTACGACTTTAAGTTTATTCACCCATGCGAAAAACACGATTCCCTTTTCTTGGGAACTCCCTGTAGATAAGTAGGTCAGAGCGTTCTTTGACGTATATGTCGCGTACTATCATCATTAGTTATAATGTTATCTTTAGTCTTCTTTCCTGTGTGAACAATCCAAAATTCCTATGTGCTTTGATTTGCGCCTGGTGAGTTTTCTGGGTCCCGAATATTGTGCAACGTCGTAATTTTCTAAGTAATGACCATTTTCAAAACAAAGTATATGTATACTTCCAGATTAGATTATTGTTTTTCAAAACTTTTCTTTAACTTTTAATTTTGTGTTTTTGCGCTTACCTAGATTTATATATGTATTTTCTTTGTATTATTTCAATTTGCCTATTTGTTTTCCCGCCCTCGAGACAGCGACAGATTCCCGATCCGGCCCCTTGGCCAATACGTTTAGAGACCCTTGCTGTAGGCAATTGATGGTAACTTACGTAACGGAAGGTGGAAACAAACGCAGTGTCTCGCACATAACCTGCCTCGTGTACCTTAGTTTCTTCGTCACGGTGTCGTAATCCAGACATCCCTGTTTGAAAGAATTTAAAGAGAGGGTAGCCTTGGTGATACAGTACAGGGTAGACTTGATGACTGAGTAGTTTGATATCCCCCCCCACACACACACTTTTTCAGGTCCGGCAGCAGAAGTGGAAAAGAGAATAAAACATGTGCGAGAAATCACACTACAATAGTGCATAGACAATTTGTGACATAAACTATAAACATCAACAGGAAAACATGTTTTTTATAATATTTCAGCTTGGGCAACAATAATAAATGGAGCGAAAGTGCACAGTGAAACTAAAGGTGTAGTAACCAAAACAAATGAACTTGCACGTCATAATAAAGTGCATTTTACTTCTTAAAAAAGTATCTAAACTACAAAAAGTTACATGTAAAAAATTATAAGGTGCGATGCTTATGTACAGGTACAAAATGATACACCATATAAAATTGCATTTATAATATAAAGAAAAAAACATGGGGCACTCTTAAGCTTCGCCTTTAATATTGGAACGCGATAGCGTTATTGGGCCCCGTTCGCAAAGCGTTCTTATATAAACCCGCGCTTGTTCCCAAGTTGTGCAAGCGTGTGTGCGTGGTCTAGTCGATAGCGTCGCATGTCACGTGACGTCACATGACGTCCCATGTTTTAACTAAAATTCACCCGCCAAATTTGTTGAAAATGTCTTCGACAAATTCGGTGGAAAATTGTTTCGATAAATTTGGCGGGAAATGTTTCGGCTAGATTTGGCGGGAAATGTTCCACTAAATTTAGTGGTAAATTTTCCTGGCAAAATTAGCGGGCCGATAGGGTAATTACGTCACAGCCATGTGCGACGTCAAACACGGCTGCGCGCGTTGCATTATGATATTTTTGGTCCCACCGACGCCGATGCCGACGACGGATTATTTGCGACAACAAGCTGCTAAACGCTATGATGTTAAAAATACGCACATGCGCGTAGCGAAACCAGAGAAGGAGTAATATCGCATGAAAAGTAAGGAAAGTTAGGATGTGGACTCGGAGTCATCGTTAGGGTTAAAGCGAATTGAATGAGGCTGGAAAATAATATTGCACTTATAAAATGAACCTAACATACAACACAGTGTTTTTTTCAGGAACATTCGAAAACGAGCCTTTGGAAAGGTTCAGGCTTGCAGTGTTTTTCTTTCAGATACAAATGGTTCGGGAATTTGAAGATGACGACATTTATTAAAACGTCAGCTACAAGGTGGGGTCAAGCTTCCAGCAAAATCTTTTTTTTTTCAGATCAGAAAACAATAACTTGCAATAATATAAGATATGATATTACCTTTCGACACATAATCGCAGAACTTTCTATGTTATCCTTCATCATTAATTGTTTGACCGAGAGGGAAATGCAACTGTGTATTGGGGACATTGCAAACTGAATTCAAGATGGTAAGATTGTTACAGTAGGCATTTATGTGTTCTGTGTTAGTTATGAAAGAGTTCTACACAGCATACATGTGTTGATTATTAAAATAAATATGACATAACGCATGATATCTTTCATTATTATCGGCTACAGTCGTTGACAGGTTAAGAATGAAGTGGAAGCTCCTCCCACCTCATTCCATCTTAGCAGAGAGAACACTGGAGAGCAGGTCGCTTCCTCTCCAGCGTTCACTGAACTAAGGTGGAAAGAGGTGGGAGGAGCTTCACCTGAACACTTATCTTATAACCGACTACAGTTGTAAAATCTCAAGATATATAAAACCAAAAAAATACGATATGATACCTGAGACACATACCAAACAGATTTAATTTTACAAAAAAGTATAAGGTTAAAACAGTGACGCAGCTACTATAATCTATTCAAGAGAATTACATATCGACTGTTTTGAATATTTAGAGGAAACAAAAGATATCATTACCGAACTTGCGATGGCATCCTTTACTTCCTGCCTTACTTTTTCTTGAATTTCCGGATGCATGGCAAGCAACACCGACATGAAGCTTAGTGTTACCGATGAGGTCTGAAAACTAGAGGAATTGAAATTGTCAGACCCATTAAATATGGTAGAACCATACCCATTAAATACATATAATGTATTTAATGGGTATGCTTTTTTTAAATCAGCGGCCTCATTGTTCAAAATTATTCGCAAGATTCCATTTGAGGGATTGTTAAGAATTCTGAATTCAGGAGGTACTCCAGTCTGCATAAAAAAGTTATGTAATACTAATATTTCTGTGTTTATCGGGCAGATATAAATTATTTTTACAGGGTCAAATGTTAATAAATTGAGTTATTTCGATAGTGGTGAGTTAGATAACTTAAAAAGAAACGTCCGCCTGACCCCTGTCATAGATATTCTTTTCATAAAAGAGGGATCCACCGGGACGTTCATTCAAGCTTTAGGACACCGTAGGAAACCACTAACTAAGAAACTACGGAGTTACCAACATTTGTAGTTATAGTTCTGAGAAACAGTGCGGCATTACATTAACAGCTGATAATTAATTTTCAGGTACATCCCCCAGAGTTTCAATCCAAGCATTTTTTGCGGTTTGTTCAACTTCGTACGCATTAAATGGGTACGGAAATAAACTCCGTAAGCTCATATCTTTGCTTCAGCATGACGCAAGCAGCAGTAGAACCTCACAAACATCAACTGTTTGTTGTGAAACTCAAGAAAACATATTTTAAACTGAATAAAACGATGACCAAAACCCACCCGGTTGTTGGTTAGGAAGCTTCAATAAAATGTCATGACGCCATCAGCTTCTAACGGCAGCGCCACTATATAGGAAGTACACTCACTAGTACATATTACCTAGGCCAGAACGTTATACCAAAGACTTTGTGGAAAAAAGCCAAAGCACTGTATATCACATTCCATGTTAGTCCACAGTTGGTCACCTTCCGAACCGCGCTCTTTAATGGCTGATTTCGAAGCGCTCGCCAGAATTCAACAATTCGAACGAAAAATACAGCCATCCGTTCAAAATACAAGTGTGCGATTGTCACTAGGAGATAGAGTTGATCATGTTTAACCTATTTCTGAACGTGCGACGTATACTTTAAGTTTACATCTATAGTACCCCTTTAAGGTTGGTACATTAATTTTTGAGCTTTAAAGAATGTCAATGCCTGTTGGGTAAGTTGCCATTATTTTATTCCGGGCTCTGCCTTTACATCTACAGCTACTGAAGCATTGCTTGGTCTGATTTATCTTTAACTGTGCCAAAGTTAAATAGTGCTTTAGAAGTGATATTAAGGTTAAGATATAATATAGTTGTGGTTACCTTCCCAAAAAAAGAACAGTTGCCAGTAAAACAATCTCTTCTTCAGTCGGGCGTCGAGGGTTTTGGAGGTCGCCAGCTGGAAAAATTATTTCACTATTAAATATTTAATTGCCCCGGTAAGACCTTCATTATTGTAAGTAGGCTGCCTCACAAATTACAATGCTTTTCCTATTGTAGTTTTATAATATCTCGAACTAACCAAAAAAAAAAAATTGTCTGACTTTTAGCCTCGCCAAAAAAGAGAACCTTCTTGATTTCTTAATGTTAGTTTTTAAAACTTTTATCACAAGAAATAAAAAAACGTTAAAACTTAAAGTTAAACAAAACAATAATAATAATAATAATAATACTTATTAATATTATTATTATGGTTTTTAATAATTATTAAATCAACGGCTTGTAGGTCTAGTCCCACAAGCCCTTGAGGGTTTGAGAAGACCTGGAACTTGATCCTGACTCTAAGAATTAGTTATTAAAGATTATTATTATTATTATTAAGGAACTTTATTTTCTATTTCGTTACATAAATGGATGAAACAAGGAAACAAAGTTGTGAGAACAGCTTGAAGGAGCCCCTTTCTCGCTTCTAGGGTGGCATATACAGAAGTCAAAACAAAGCAACAGCGAAAAAAAAATTGAGAAAACCGACATATCAAAGTAAAATACAAAAATCAAACAGGTCTCAGAACTCGATTCGCTCAGTTTTGACCCACATTAGTTCAGTTCGTAATTCTTGAATTGCAATAGAAATGATATCAATGTTATTTTTTATTAGGGTGTTCAATATAATTGGACGTGTGTATTTGAGTTATTGCATTGAATAGTTGTAATGACACAGTGGCTCAGTCCAATGTTCCGCCGACCGAGCTGGGTAGGAAGTTGCATGTCCTTTTAGCTCCGCGAGGTTGACTAAACTACCCCCATTTCTTTTATTTTCTAACTTAAAACTGATCGGGAGTTTATACTTGTACATGTTGTAAACAGGAAGTATACTATTTTTTTTATGAAACGACCCTGGGCACTAGAGATGTAAGAAACATTCTCAACAAGGCGCACATCATATTTTTGCAATAGTAGTATTTTTTGGAGATTTGTGCGGGTGGTTTTGCCCCAAACTGGATATCAATAATTTAGTTGAAAAATAAAAAAAGTCTGGTATAAAAAAAAGTAACGTTTCTCGGTAGAATAAAACGGTTACGAGAGACTCGTCCAATGACCTTTGACAATCTAGTGCGTAAATCATTTACATGACTGTCTCAAGATAATTACTGATAAAAAATTACACCTAAACTCTTAAAATTATCTACAATATCTATATCCTTTGCATTTAGGAAAAGTGTCTTAGTTGTAGAAACATTTTTGATTTTAGGCCGAAAGATGACTCCCTTCGCTTTACTCGTATTTATGTTAAGCGCGTTATCATAGGACCATTTTTGCAACGCTGTTAGGGTCACGTTTGCGCAGCTGATAAGCTTTTCGCCAGTCTTGCCAAAAAAGAAGAGGCTCGTGTCATCTGCGTATATTACGAATTTAGTCATTGGATTTATGTTTACGATTGCATTAATGTATATATTAAACAATAATGGCCCTAAATTGCTTCCTTGTGTTTTGCCTATTATAATTATCTTTGTTGAACGGGGACCTAAATATGAATTAAGCAAGAGAAGTGCCAGACCTCGAATTCTGTAAATATCCTGCTTCTCTACCAGTAAACTTTGATTTATATAATCAAATGCCTTTGTAAAATCTACAAAAATGCCAAAGGCCAATTTCTTACTCTCAAAACTCCGTAAATTACATTATTTTTGTTCGAGCAATGCAAGTTACATTGATCGATTTTGTTTTTCATAAGCCGAACTTAGCATCAGTATTTATTTGATGCTTATTAAAAAACTGAGATACACGAATATGTATGATTTCTTCTAAGCTCTTTGAGAATACCGAAAGGACAGAGATAAGCCTGTAATTGCTTATGTCGTTCTTATATCTCTTTTAGTATTGTGATCACATTTGAACTGAACCAGTTCGAAAAGGCTTGACTCGTGAGTCAAAACCCAACACTGCTACCTCACAGGGGAGTGTTGTAGCTTCTTTTAAAAAGTATTTCTGATGGTGCATAAATTTACGTGGGATTTGACTTCGAAGTGCACTGCTCATAATTCATAGTTCATTGGTTCATTAAATACGCGTGAATTAAAACAAATATATACTCCATTATAAAGACAATACTGAGCTTAACATCTTACCCTCTGAGTCAGGGATTTTTTTTAATCCATATTCATCAGAAAGACGCATAGTATGCACTTGTGCTTCCAACAGGTTCTGCAGCATATCCTGTCTTTGTGTCTGAAAAATACAGTTTTTTTAGCTCGTGTTGTGTAAATGTCATACCTGGGTGCATAGAAATCGCACACATACACAAATTAAGTACTTGAAGTATGCAGACATCAAACTAACGCAAAGGTGAGTTCTGAATCAACGAAGCAACGAGAGTTGTAATAACGGGAACGTTTGTACAAGATGCTATTATCTTAATGTAATGTAAATTATTATCGCGCAGCAATTTCAGAAAGGTATATAAATTGAAAGTGCCCCCTTGTTGGTAGAGCATTGGCATTATTTTTAAATGGAGCAAAGAAAGCTAGAGATTCGAAAACTGACAGTTTTCATAATTCGGGCGGTCAAACTTCGAACTACAATAAAGTAAGTAGATGGAAAACTGACAGTGTAGACCGACTCGCTTGTTACTGATAGGGACAAGGAAGTAGATTGTTGGTGGTGGGATGGGTTATTTCCCTGCTATTGATTCGGATTTTTACGTGTTTAGAATTTCCAAAAGTAGTTTAATACAATTGCTAGTATAACTCTAAGGGTTCAATAGCAAACGTTTGCAATGAATGCAAAACAGAGTGAAGATTCGTTTTAAGCTTAACTAAGAAATAAAAAAAAAACAAGAAACACTGAACAAACAAAACGCGAAACTAGAGCAAAGCAATTTTTATAAAGGTGCTATTTTCAGTACCGAACACATATATTAGCGTCGTTGTTTTAAGGATGAGCAAGGCGTAATGAAACAGGAGTTTATTTTTTTAGTAGAAAAATGAGCATACCGAAGGATTTTGTGTTCTGAGTCTCACAACCTTCTCCATATCTTCAGCAAATATTTTCATGGTGAAAGTCCCCATTACTTTATTCAGCCAAAAGAAGGGTTTCATGAAATTTCCGAAAGTTGTCGTGCATTCTGACAAAAGATAGAAACACATTAACAAATGTTCTACTCTCAAGTCGGTAAAGTTTGAAATGCAGGAGTCTTAGTTTAAGTTGTGTTAAATAGCGAGAAGCAGAGCACTGCTGCAGAGAACAAGGTAACGTGTGACAAAATTTGTTTGAGACTGAAGAAAAAGAATTACGTGCAATCGCGTGTAAAGGGCCTTTCATCATTCCGGGAATGACGCCATCGGCTTTGATATAGAACGGACATTTCCTGTTGTGCTGTAAGTCGGTATCCATCCCGAAGGCGGCCCGACATGCGAAGTCCATTGAAAGAGCTTGGAACGCGTCATTCATTGATTCCTGCCTTCCATCATTGGCAAGTTTACGCACTATATTCATGAAGATGTCCCCTTGCTCAACGAGGTGTGGCATCATCTGCAAATTGAAAAAGACGGCAAGTCAGTAACCGTCTCTAAGCGAATGATAGATGGCGCCTCCGCTAAGTGTTGGGGTGCTGGTAAGATAGATATAATGAAGGCCGAAATAAATACAAGATGGATGCCAATGGTAATATGTCATTAAAAGAAGAGTTTTTGCCGAGCGCGAGGTTGGCGGGCTGGTGCCTTTTGGACATTCCACTCCTTTCTTGCAATGCTTAGCATTTTCTTCTGTACTTTAAGATAGTGGTTCTTGTAGTGTCGACATTTCTAATGCAGCGGACACTTACTTGGTATTTGCCGTAATTGTAAGAAACCTAGGATTCATTCCATTAAGTCACCTGTTTAAGTTTGTACGAAGAGAACTCCCTTGATGAGACACTTCGAAGAAATCGCCATTGGGGATCCTTGGCATGAATCATAGACTGTCCGAGAAACGAATGCTCCTGATCCGTCATCATTGTAATCTGTAAGAGCAGTTGTACTATGTATTCCTCTGCAGATTTCCACATGAGAAAGCGTTCCGAAAACCAAATCAACTGTTATATAATTTTTAACGTCCTTTTGAGTCGTGAGACTTTAGTGAAAGTTATAGTCTAGATATATTTGGGAAAGTAATAAAAAAAAACGTACCCGGCGTAAACTTATAGCTACAAAAAATAATAAAAAACTCGTTATTCCTTAAAAAACGCCACCATGTCAACACGTGTTTCTATTCGTTTTCTCCGTTGAAATGAGTCTAATGCGATGTTTTCCTTTGGTAAAAACTATATGACTGTGTACAATTGCGATTTTACACGTAATAGGTACAGGTGTTGTCTGCCGACATTTTTGATCTGGCTACTAATGTGGACATTCGCGTTATTTGACAATGTTTCACAATCTAAACATACAAAAATAATATGAGGACACGTCAAGTAAAATTGCGTTTTCATATCTGATAGTGCCGTGAGTTAAATTAAAAAGTCGAAAGATACATACATTCTAGTAAAACGTATTTAATGTTCCAGAGCCAGCTTGTAGTGGTTTATTTAAATTCATTAAAGAATATGTAACTTGTTTACGTAAAATTGAATGAGATTTGGTTGATTTGTGTTATTGCGCAAGAAATGTCAATTCAATTAAGTTATGTAATGTTGAAAGTGTACATGTATCATGTTGTGATATAATAATCTAAGGATATATAAAAAAATACTCCACAAAACGACACCTAATCTTAAAGGCAGCTCGGTCAATTCACGAAAAACAGCACCATATAGCAGCCCACACGGACAGCAAAGAGACAAGACAGAAGACACCCCCTTAGAGCGTTGACCGAACTCTGTCAGAAACATTAACTTCGTTCGATTTACTGGCACCTGCGGCACCGGTGCAGAAAAGTTCAGGGCGGCATATTTCCGATCTTATTTTAATACACATACCGGATGTACACCGCCCTAAACGGATTTCTGCACCCGTGTAAGAGATGCAAGGTAATCGAACCAAGCAACTGCTTTTTAAACGTAAACACTGCGCCAACAGCACAAGCATGTCACCAAGCCACCCGACCTAAAAATCCCCGTGAAGGCTAGTTGAATCGAGTAAATCTCGCTTAAAGGGGCGGTGCAACGATTTTATGATTAAAAGAATTTGCATCTCGTCACTTTTACGTTGTTTATCGTGTCCCAGAGGATAGAGAAAACACTCCCTTCATTAAAAATGTCGCGATTCCTCTGCATAATCGCAAAGCAAAAGTCGAGCTTTTTCCCCCACCTGCAGCCCCAAGTGGCAGCCGAAGGAACTACGGCGGAAAGATTATGTGACCTGGCTCGGCTCTAAGCTGCAGCATAGCGCCCGCTAATGTACGCAGAGAGAGGGAGGGGAAGCGTCCTCCGAGATAGCACACGGGAAGCTACACGGCACTCCGAATGGCGTCACTGGGAGTGCGACCAGGTGTGACCCTGAAAACTGGGAGTGAGTTGAGGGGTGCCCGAAATGCCAATCTTTATCTTTTTTTGCGCAACAACTAGGACACGCAGGCAAAATCGGTTTTCTGTTCTTTACTTCAGAAGTGTCAGGGGGCAACTTCCAGAAATCTTTGACCGAAGTCCGAAAATCGTTGCACCGCCCCTTTAAAGGTTGAATAAAATTTCAAACGCACACCAGAAGGAAGCGGCTGAGTCAATGAAAGCTGTCATGTATGACGAATGATGTGCAAACATAAACACAATAAAACTTGATTTCTTTTCGTTTCTTCTAGGTAGCCCAGAAATAGCGAAAACAACCCCACTAATATTCGCGGTCAATATAGCCTGTTTCGCGGTACATGCGTTCGCCATGGTGCGCTCGGGGAGAATTCGAAAACACGGGGCACGGGACGCCCACAATAGGTTAATCTCATTTGTTGAGACGTACAGTGCTCAGTCTCTCTGCTCGGGTTGGCAACGATAGCTGTACTGACTTTAATTTTTGTTTGTTTTTCTGATTGCGCGCGCGTAAGCCTCTGTAGCGCCGACGCCTGAAGACAGCAGAGACTGCTTCGATGCCTCGGACGCTGGCGCCACGCGGAATGGCGTGGTAGATCACGTGACACTTCGGACACTTTGTGCCACGTGACCAAAGCAGGACACCACTTTGCGAGCTACATCGGCGTACTACTGGTAAATATTGCCTACAATAATGGCGTAAAGTTTGATTTCGCGAAAGTGCGACCCGATTCAACGTTGCACCATTGACTCATTCCATTGTTGAACCACAATTCAGCCTACATATGAGCCAGCATAGGACCATTACTCATGTCATGGTTCGACCGCGATTTAGCCACCGCTTCTACCAAGGTTGGGCCACTAAAGAACCACTAAGCCATCATTGAACTACCGTCGGCTGTGCGTTTAACAACCAATATTGACATCCAAGTTTAATCATTGGCTTATTCAGTATTGGCTCCCAAACCTATCCACTGGCTATATAAATTCCGTCATCCTTCCTTAACCACGGGCTGCACTATTGCCGGCAGTCATTTTGAGCAGACATGCCACTGAACACGAGAAACACCCGAAAAGAAAACTGAAGTAAACAAGCCACATGTGCCGTTTATTATTATTTGCTTCCGTCAGCCCAATAGTTTTACGTATATGCACGCATTTTGTCATGGATGAGAAAGTCTCATGTCAATATTATATACAGTAAAATATAGAAATATGCGATGCAAATTAACGAGCAGAAGGAACGCTCAATAAATATATTTATTAAAAAAAATATAGATTGAAGAAAAATATATAAATCAGTGCAACCCACTCTGTGGAGGTCGGCGCGCCTTTTCTCTCTTGTCTTTGATCTCCAGAATCGTACACCCTGCCTCTGCTCGTATATGGTATCCTGGTATACAGAAAGAAATCTGGCAGAGGTTGTTAAAAGCCGCGTGTCAAAATTATAAGAAAAAAATACGGTAATAAATTCAATGTATACTAAATAAGAAAAAAATCTGAAAGCGCTGGTATTGCCCTGTATCCATAGATTGTCACACAATCTCGCGAAGTTGGTCGGCCAGTTTGTCATTTCCTTGGTATTCACAGCACCACTGAAGCTATCTAGCGTATGCCCCCAAGTAAGCAAGAATACAGTCAAGGAGGGCATGTTCACAGAAAATATGCGGACAAATACGTCGAATGCGCCGGATCGGTAGTCTGCGAAATATCAACGACATGCGGGTGATTCTACATAGTGCGGACAGGCAGGTGCATTCATGTAAGTGTGCGACAGCGTCAACTTTCTATAAAGCGGTCTCCTTGGGGAAACTTGGCCGTCCACTATGATGAGAGGCCATGTGGTTCTGTACTAGATTAAACACAAATTTCGGACAAATATGACAACAAAAAATTAAAAAAATAACTTTTTTTTTACGATGCGTACACATTCAAGGGAAAGGAGTGTGACGGCAGCCTCAGTGCGTCGTCCCTCGTTTGTTTTTCAGATAAGTAGTTCAGATTCATCTTGAGTGAGGTATAGTTGAGTGTGCATATATGTTCGCGATTTTCACATAAAATTCAGTTACCAGCAGCGCCCCGTTTGTTCACTTCTACTTCTTTGTGCTTATTTTGCCCCTTTTAAGCTTAACAATTACATACCAGCTTGTCCGCTTGCACGTTCTGTTACAATTTCTATTTATCCTCCCTCCCTAAAAAACGAATGGCGATCGTACGCCATGCAAATAAACGGTGTATGTCAAAAGAATATGCCCGTCTGTGCGTCGCACCCCTTTCTGTTTTATTTTTCTTACAACGTGTAAGCTAACTGTTTGTTATAGGTTTTCAAGAGAGCTCATTTAGTGAGTCCAAATGCATCGCTTCTCAAAAAGCTGGTCGCCGTGGTTTCCTCCCGGTACGAGAGCATCCCATTGCTCAACAGCGCGGAGCCGTTTTAGCAGCGCACCTTTTGGATCCGTGCAGTGCCGCCTGGCTCGCTTCAGCGGGGTCTCAGTCTGACCGCGATCCTAGCACGCGTCTGCGCAGAAACGGACGCATCTGCCGCTTCTGGTCGATTCTCTTCAAGTTTCAGCGTGCTTTTCGCTTGTGGAGGGTTGCATGTTCATTAACAATGAAGACAAAGACCGCGGCCTTGTCTTCCAGGTATTGATCATGCACAACTCTTACTAAGCGCTGTGGCTCAAACTCTAACCTGCGAAGAGTACAAGTTCGTCTGCTTCACAAACAGGGGTTGCGATGATGTCAGAACGACGAGCTCTTATTGGCTGATTAAGGAAAACAGCGGGTAGACCTCAAGTCATCTGGAGCATTGAGGTTTACCCCATATCCTTTCATTTAAAGCCAATCAAAGCTCGGCGGGGTTTCGATGTCGCCGCAACCGCTGCGCAAAAAGCAGACGAGTTGCTCTCCGCATAAAGTTTCACTAAGGCCCAGGGAATTGCAAACAATCAAAGAAATTTCCGGCGTTTCTAACGCTAGAGAACAAATTAGGCGCCGTACGCACCAGTAACTGTGGACGTTACGAGTCATGCGCGAAAGTACGCCCAGTGCTCGTGATTTTACGCATGACGTGCCAATATTTATATGGACGGCCAATATTTACCAGCTTATGCGGAGAACAAGTTGTGTGCTTCTTGCGCATTAGTTGCCTTGACGTCAGAAAGGCACAGAGCTCTGATTGGATTAGACTGGAAGGGTAGGGGCTACACTTCAATGCTAGATGCATTGAGGTCTGTCCACTATTTTTTTTTAATTAGCCAATCCGAACTCGGCCTTCCGACATCACCGCAATTAACCCCTTTGCAAGAAGGAGACGGACTTTCGCTCTGCACATGTTATAACCTACTTGCTTTGTTGACGCACCGAGGATGCTGGGAAGACAACAGTTGCCATTTTATGTCAGCGCTTTAGCAATGTTGACAAGCCAATGAGACTGACAGGTCAACATTGGCAATTTTTTCCAACTGTCCTTTCAACCCTGACAAGTCGATGGTACTGACAGGTCAACATTGGCCATTTTGTGCCACTGTCCTTTCAATGGTTGATAACTCAATAGTACTGACAGGCCAACATCCGCCATGTTAGGCCGATGCTTTACCAATATTGGCAAGCGAAGGGTAGTGACAAGCCAACATTTGCCATTTTATGCCGATGTTTCTCCAAATTAGCCAAGCCAATTGAATTTAGAGCCAACATTGCCCATTTAATGTCATTGTTTATTCAACATTAGCCCGCCAATCTGACTGATAGGCCGACATCGTCCATTTTATGCCATTGTTCAACTAATTTTGATACGCCAAAGAAACTGACAGTACGACTTTCACCAGTTTATGCGAGTTTTCTTCCACTATTGGTTTTCCAATAGAGAAGCTTTGCCATCATTGGAAAGCTTATACAATGGCAAAGCCAATATTGGTAAGCTAGGAGCTCAACTGGACCATAATTGATTCCTATGTTGCGAGTAAAAATCAATTATTGTTCCGACAGCGTGTGCTGCTCAGGGATGGGGGGGGGGGGGGGAGGGGGAGGGGGGGCGGGGGGCAGGATGCCTTGTTTTTTTTTTTTTAGCTCGACACAGAAGTTGAGCACCACAGGCGTTAAAAGCGAGATTTCACAATGATTAATTTTAGAGAGGCCCTTAGGCGCACGTTTCAGCGTACAGCGGCGTCGCCATCGCCGTCGGCGCAACCACCCCGCTAAATTTAGCGGGAAATTAAATTGGTGTCGAGGTCACGTGACGTCGATTTCCCAGCTAAATCTAGCAGAGAAACTGAATTTGTTCACGGGTGACCTTACACAAAGTCATGTTACGTCATTTTCTCCCTATATTTTGCGGGGCAACTGAATTGGTGTGGATGTCACGTGGCTTCAATTTTTCAACTGAATTTACCTGGGAAACTGGGGGAGAAGGGGAGGGTATGGAAAAGGAGGAGGGGAGGGTACGGAGGAAGAGGATGGGAGGGTGCGCAGGAGGAGGAGAGGGTACAGAAGAGGAGGAGGGAAAGGTACGGAGGAGACGGATGGGACGAGGAGAATGGGAGAGGAAGAAAGAAGAAGGGCGAGGAGAGGAAAAGGGGAGGAGGAAGATGAAAGGAGGAGGAGGAGGAAGGCAGAAGAAGGAGGGGAGGAGGAGAAGGAGGGTGACGAGAGAGGAGGCGCATGAGAAAATGAGGAGAAGGAGATGGAGGGGGATGAGGAGAGAAGAAGAGGAGGAGGAGACAAGGAGGGGAGGGTACGACGAGGAGGAGGGACATACGCTCCCCTCTTCTTCCTCAAAAAGATACGCTCTAATTTCGCATTACAGAGAATTGTGAACGACCTTCATTTCTTAGCTGCGTATAAAATGTAGACTCCTCCCACAGTAGTTTTCAAAGTGAAATATCCCGTTAACTCGAAACTGTCGGAACTGAACCGTTGTGACTGCCTGAAGCCGAGCAGGTTGGTTATTCATGCTTGTGAGATATGCCAGCTGAACGAAGGAAGAAATATACAAGACATAGGGAGATACACGGAACATACACATGCACTTCGCTGGTGAACTCATGCAGTCCGCTCAACTGAACACAGCTAGTCTTTATAGAGAAAATAACATCCCTGAAAAATTTATTTTTTTATATATTTTTCAAGCCGATTTATTATGGCGTCACGAGACTACCCAATCAATATTTTGCTAAGGAGCCAAATATATTTTTAATCGAGCCAAAAATCTCAGCAGCTCGAAACCAAAACCGAAACACGAGCACGGAAGCTCATTGCCGAAAGCCATGTGTCTACACCACACCGCGTTTTTGTTTCTCCTCGTCACCGGCGTGTGAAGCACACGACGACAACAACGGAGTTGCGTGTACCGTTTGTCGTGCGATTGTTTTGCGCTTATATCCCTTCCACTTGATCTTCTGCGCTTGTGGATGGATTGACCTGTACCCCGAATGATAGTTCCGAACTAACGGCCCCATGTCCGTCGCAACGTTGGTCTGTTTTGCGACGCCATCGCGTCGTCCAGCCAGCGGTACGTCGCCATATTGGAAATAACGTCTACAAATGCTGCTTGTGGTCTGTGCAACACTTTTTTTTATCAGTGTATTTCCAGACTCATGGAGGCTACAAAAATGCGGTTCGTATTCTTTGATATTTTTTAATATTGATCATGTCGCTTTGATGACCCACGAGTGTGAGTATATTTGGTACAGATAGTTTGAATACCACGTGACCATGTAAAAAAGAGTGATCGCGACAGAAACAGCCCAATTCTCGACCGGCGCTTTTCGGGCGGAAAGAAAACTAATTTCGTGCAGCAAATTGTGTTTTGGGTTTACTGGACTCTTTTAGGTCATGTTCAAATAAAAACCTCGGCGAGTATAAATACGATGTCAGTGTCCCATTAAATGGAAACGAGCAATGACCGTTGTACACAGTTAAGAGGAAATTAAGGAAAATACTTAAACAAAACTAAAATGAAGTCTTCATTTTTTCACTCCGCCAAATATACCCTGATAGAGCATTTCTAATATCAGAGATAGTCAGATAATAAATATTAGAAGGCGATTCTAGTGTAGAAAGTGAAACTGAAAAGTAATTCATCTCACCGCGGCCGAGTTTTGCTTTTTTTTTTTTCTAGACTCACCCCACGGTTCACGAAGTTTTTGAAGTTCGAGACGAAGACGTAATTCAAGAAATCAAGGTCCTTAACCACGAGGGTGGGAACATCGCCGTTGTAAAAGCTGAAAAAAAAATATTACGATATTTAAAACTTCCTACACAAGAATCGGGAAATCGCTGTGTAAAATGTTATGATTTTAAAACAGTGTAGTATTAATTTATATACACTAACCTATATAAGTATTAAAACATCAGAATAAATCTAGTACATAAGAAGACACATAGTGTTTATTACCTTAAACATAACCTCTAGAAGTTTCGCGCTTTTGAGCCACCGTGCTTACCCAAATATATCGCCGTATTTTGCGCACCATTGTTCCAAAGCATTGCTCCGGTCCTGTATTAAAACACAGTAAATTCATTACAATATAATTGTTTGAACATTTAACGCAAATGTAAAATTCTAGGTACTGTATGCTCTCATTATCTCAAAGCTAGCATCTGAAAAATATGTGAGGAAGATAATGCCCATATTGGAGCAAGTAAATCACATAACTCTAAACAAATAAGGCATTGACATGAACAAATATATCATCAACAATTTTACACTATGTAAAAAAAATAAAACCAGAAATTATCACAAAGACAGAAATCTTACCTTTCCTCGGCAGACGCTACAGTGTCGAAGCAGAGGTAAGAATAGAGTAACCATTGTCAAAGCAACGATACGATATGAAGCTAGTTATTCAGTTGTTATAAACATATCTTAGAAAACGTTCGCCAGATAATAGAAAGAACAAAAACAACTTTCCATCGCCAAACGTGCAATCTCAGCCCAAATGTAAAGCTAGTGGAACACATGCCAAGGATTAAAAGCTAACCACAGACTTAATCAAATGTTTAAATTTTTTCCTTAACTTTTTAAAGGAAAACGGGAATTTTGCACTGGTGTTAACACCATTAATACCCATTTATTCGTGGACTCCGTCGCCGAATTTTTTCAATTCAAAGTGACCCAAAATAGCTAATAATATCTAAATATCATAACGGTTATTTTTTTTTTTATCTCGCATTTGATTCGGGCCGTTAGAAATACTTATCGTCGTAGGCTGAGCGTATAAAAACACATAAAAATTAGTTTATTCCAAAACAAGGTGTACATTTTGGTGGTACTCCTTCAGATTTCCCCAGATAATGTTCGGTTCAGGTCCAGGTATACCGAGACTGCTGAAGTACTCAAAGGTTTTCTTTCTCCACCTAACGGAAAAAAAATGCCGTTAGTTTTCTTTTGAAGACCGGGTCTATCGCGTGCCTCACGCGTATACATAAAAAAAAAAGCCGTTAGCTACCACAACAACAAAAAAAAAGGTTTATTCTTGTTCTGAATTATTGTTTTTTTTTATTATTGAGTGCGTGCGAAAACTAAAGGGAGCGCGGCGCTCCGTTTCAGCAGCAAAGATTCTTTGATAAATTCAAGATTTGCGTTGCTTACAAATACCGCCAACTATATCGTTCTGCAAACGCGCAAAACAAGAGAATCAAAGTTTTAGAAATATTCTTTACTTTATGATGCAGGTTATCAAAACAACACGGTAATAAATTATTCATAAAATTTTTTGGGAACAACATTAAAAGTAGTTACTTTACAAGCTGCTCGTAAGATAAAATTGGCGTATTCAATATCCAGAAAGCGTTATATTACTCTATTAGCAGCTTCTATAGAAATCCCAATTCATTACAAATTAGTAAAACAGAAATAAGCCATTGTAATCCTATTTCTCTGCAGAAAACAATCTTGACAAGGCTTGTTTAATTTCACAGTCCTATACACAACTTAGATTCCCAAACAAAAAAAAGCTCTTTTACGAACCAAATATTGTCATGGCACATCGTTTAATATTCTTAAGAAGAAGTTTGTTTAGCAAAGAATAGCAGAGGGCCACATTGTCCTATATTTATTTTAGTGTGCAATTTCCATAATATAACAATTTTTATAGTAAAAAAACCCCGCCAAATGCTTGTTATATCACAAAGCGTGCAAAACCCAAGATAATTCTGCTTTTGGGAATAGGACTTGAAAAAATGCCCAAGTAAAGACAGGGTTGTTGTTTTAGCCGCCTCCAACTTAGATTTATTTTGATCCAAATAAAACTAATGTACTTCTAGAGTAGGCATATATCGCAAGAAATCACTTGCTTTGAAATAAACAATTCGAGAATTGTGCCTGTTTACATGTCTAGTGGTTCTAACGTAAAGACATCACTCGTAAAAATAGTATTTCAAATAACCAACCACGGCGTAAATATTTGTTTACCTGAGCAGAAAAATCACTAAAATGGCGCTCAATGTGCAGAAGATTGCAAGCACATACATCCTCGAGGACTGCAGTATGACAAAGAAACCAGCTTAAGTTGCGTTGTTTCTCTTTCGACTGAAGTAGAAACGCTGCTAGAACCTAATGTTTTTCAAGGGACGTTATTAAGCCGGTTTAGTAATGACGCACATAATAACTTTAATACCAATGAACAACAAAACTTGAAACTCAGTGTTAATATCCTGCCGATGCTGGCACGTGTTTCTGTGACGTCAAAAGGCTCTCGGAATGTTCTGTTTATTTTGCAGCATACCATGAACATGTGCAGCGATAAATCACGCCACCAGAGCATGCCAGAAGACAGCAGATGTGACCGAACAATCTGCCCTGCCGTAACGTAAACAAGAGCAATTTCTGGGAAACTAGTCCCTTTCGTTTTTTTCTGTCTCTCAGTTCACAGCCTTTCCATCTGAATCTCGCGGATTTGTAATCTAGTCTCAAGTTATGAAGCGGGCGCCTCTGCTCATTGTTAAAACAGAACCAGTGATTTAATTGTTTACGAATCTTCAACAAACTTAGTATAATCGAGTGGTTCCTCTCTAGCTACCGCTATTGTTTATGAAGTTATTTGATTAGAGGGGTCCTTCCAACTTTACACTCATTTCAGCACCTATAATGACAGTTGTAGAAAACAAAACAGCGGCCATATTTCAAGTTCAAAGCATTGTGTAAATTTGCGTTGAAGGTGGTATGCAACACATGTGCACCAACTGAAACACCACATTCCCTATCAACAGCTGCCGTTGTGACTGCCGCGATTACTGCACGACATGGAAAAATAAGTACATTTACAAAACTTTATTTTAAATAGGTTAGTTTGGTTACCCTGAACTTCGCTTGAAGCTTCCAAATGTGCACTGAAACAAAAACGTCCATTAAACTACTCTATTCGCGCTCCTCAACTCCACCACCATGGATAAATCTCGGAAAGCTACGAATGCGTAATTGGCTGCAACGGCTGTTACTGGCACCGAGGCAATTTCAATGACTGCTGCATACTCAATGGACGCCGTCCAGTCACACAATAATACTTTTTTTTAATAACATAAGCATTACTCATCAAACTTTCCTTCCTCGTTTTTTGTATTGTTTTCGTTGGTTTACTTTCGTATGACCTGAATGGTCAACATTTTCCTCATATAATTAACGGTACGTGAATCCAAAATAAATGGCCAGTAAATATTTCGTAAGCCATTTAGGAAGAAAATTATGGCCTTCGATTCGTTTGAAAATTTACCATGCACACCAACAAACATCGCTGAACTCTTGACCCAAATATTAGCCCAAAGTATTTTTTGCGAAGTTACTGAATTTAAAATTGCGGCCTTCACCGTGCTCAAGTCTCTACCCACAACAAAAAGTAATTGACGGCAGAGGCAGGCAGGGGTTCGCTATTTAGATTTAAAAATTTGTTTCTAATTGATCACAAATAGTTTCATTGTGTCAAGTGAATGTTATTTGCGAGCTCCCTCCAGCAGCGGGGCACGAAAGAAATGTTCGGCATTGTTTATGTTTTAACCACCTGCTCTACCTGTGAGACTGCCGGCCAGTGATGTCACGGCATTCAGAAGCATGGCTGTTTTTGAATGTTGGTTTTGTCATCGTTTTCATTTACTGATTTCACGATACTCATTCATCAAGGAGCTTTATTTGCCATTTCGATACATAAATGGAGGAAACAAGAAAAAAAACTGCGAGAACAGCTTGACAGGGCCCCTTGCTCCCTTTCTAGTGGCATCTACAGAAATCAAAGCAAAACAACAGCAAAAACACTGAGAAAACCAACATAACAAAGTAAAATGCACAAATGAAACAGTTCTCATAAATTGATTCATTCTTTTTCGCCCCACATTAGGTCAGTTTGTGATTCCTGAATTGCAATAGAATTAATATTATTAATTTTATTAGCGTGTTCTATCAAGTAGGAAATGCTATTTGAGTTATTGGATTGAATAGTTTTTGGGACACAGTGGCCCAGACCAATGTCCCGCCGACCAAGTTGGGTAAGAAGTAGCATTTTCTTTTAGCTCCCCAGGTTTTACCAGGCTTTTCCTATTTCATTTATTTTCTAACTTAAAACTGGTCGCGAGTCTATACTTGCACATGTTGTAAACGGAAAGTATACTATTTTTATGAACAGACCCTGGGTGCTAGAGTCGTAAGAAACATTCTCAATTAGTCGCACATATTATTTTTTTATTTTTTTTTGCTTTGCAATATGAACATTTTTTGGAGATTTGTGCGGCTGGTTGTGCCCGAAACTAGATAAAAACAATTCTGGCGAGAAAGAAATAAAGTCTGGTATAAAAGAAGCTTAATATTTATCTGTAGAATAAAACGGTTACAAGACAGTAGTTCAATGACCTTTGACAACCTAGTGCCTAAATCATTTACAGGATTTTCCCAAGATAACTACTGGATGGAAATTATACCTAAACTCTTAAAATTATCCACAATATCGATATCATTTGCACTTAAGGCAAGGGTGTTAGTTGAAGAAACATTTTTTTTAGGCTAAAAAACAATTGTCTTCGTCTTACTCGCATTGATGTTTAGCGCGTAACCTGAGGACCATTTTTGCAACGCTGTTAAGGTCACGTTTGCGCAGTTGATTAGCTCGTCGCCAGTCTCGCGAGAAAGTGAAGAGGCTCGTGTCGTCCGCGTGTATTACGAATTTTGTCAGTTAATTTATTTTTGACAATATCATTAATATATATATTAAACAGTAATGGCCCTAAGTTGCCTCCT